GATGCTTTATTTGAATAAAATGGCTGGGGCATAAATCAGTGCTCCAAACTGTATCACCAAAGATGTTCACTCACTGAACCAAAAGGTCAGCCGTTGGATGGCAGAGCTGGATCAGGCCCAAAAAAGTATTCAAGAATTGAAAGACACTATTAAGAGGCCTAATATAAGAGTTCTGGGAGTCCCACAAGGTGCAGAAAGAGAAACTGGTTTTACAAATATATTTAATGAAATAATAAAGGAAAATTTCCCTAATCTAGAGAAAGAATTGGGAAACAGCATCCAGGAGGGGCACAGAACTCCCAGCAGGCTTGATCAAAAGTGATCTTTGTCACAACACATGCTCATCAAGCTCTCTTCAATCAAACATAAGGAAAAGATTCTTAGATGTGCACGTAAAAAAAATAAACTGACATATAAAGGAATGCCAATTAAACTCACAGGAGACCTCTCACAGGAAATTCTACAGTCAAGAAGAGAATGGAGTGACATATTCCAGATTCTCAAAGAAAAAATTGTCAGCCCAGGATAAAATATCCAGCAGAGCTTTCTTTTGTCTTTGAAAATGAAATAAAATTCTTCCACAGTAAAAAAAAAAAAAGTTGAAAGAATATGTCTCTTCTAAACCTGCCCTACAAATGATACTTCAAGATGTTCTCTTGACAGAGAAGAGGAATAGCACCAAACAAAACCAAAGGCAAATGTGAAGAGCATCCCAGTAAAATGACAACAGAAGACTATATCAATGAACAATCCATTTCTAAAATGAAAGGATCACACACTTTTAAAGGATAGAAACTTCTCATTTTTAGTCAAATTCATTTACTGGTTAATATGTATAACATTATTAACAAAATGATCGCATTTGTTTTTCTTTTCATTGTGATACGTGAGTTGGAGTATGACTGCCCACAAAAAAAACGCTTTCTAAAGTTATATTAAGAAGGCACACGAGGTAAAATGTTCTGTCATACATAGCAGTAAACAAAACATCTTACTAACAGAAACATAACTAAAATTCGCTAGACGTTGGATCCAAAATATTTTCTATGACATCAAAGTTCCCTGGGAAAGTGTTTCTGTCCTCATAAATACACTCATATATACCTCTTTTTTTCTATCTTAATGAACTCTCTAGATGTGTAATTTGCACAGTGCTTCCAAATTGACTACTCTTCTTATAGTCTAGTACAGCAAAATATATGTGGAAAATATTTGCATGGTTTTACTTTGCTTTTAAAAAACTGATCCCTATGGTTCTTAACTGTAAAAGGATAAGTACCAATGACCTATTGTTACATAATTCTTCTAAAGTGTCCTATTTTAAAAAGAATTTTAGTAACTATCTACTTTCACAATCATATGTTCAAGTAACAATAGTTGAACTATTAATTATCCTAGTGTTATGAAAATAATCTTAGTAGACCAAGACAAATTTGACATTTCTTTGTGTAACACTAGTTCATCAAAATATTCTTTCATTTTTCATGTCAATTAATTAGGTTACTGGTCGAGGATCAATCAAAATGGGCTGTTAGGGAAAGATTAATTACTTCCTTTTTTGTGGATTAATTAGAAAGGTGTTGAAGTGCTAAGCAAACCTGTTCTAGTGAATGAAAAATTAATGTCAAACAGATGTGCCAACCTGATATATCCTCTAGCAGATTTATCACTTTTAAGTTAATGACAAAATGCATTCTTTTTCATGTGAAATAAAGAACTTCTTTAGTCCTAAACGGTTTTGAAATACACTGGGTTTTTTTTTTTTTTTTGGTTTTTCCACACAAATCAACATGATAGAATAGAAACAAAACATTAGCAAATGTTTTTTTTTTGAAATTGATGAAATTTTACACATCTATATTTTGTCGGTTTCAGCTAAAATGATAGACAATAGACCAGCTTAAAAATACACAACAAATAAATTACTTATAATGTAGATGACATAACTTTTACAATTGAAGAAACTTCAAACTTGCTTAAACTAAGCCTTTTGTTCTTTCATTTTAGAATTCTCTATGAAAATGAGTTTATTTATGGACGGTAAACTGAGGGCTTATTTGATTCTCTCCAGAAATATTCTATATGTCAGAAATACACTGTTATCCCAGGAAACATTCAATGGTGTTAACTGGCCTCCATGCCAAAAGCTAAAGCAAGGAGATTGCAATTGAGAAATGCAAAAACACACACGACTTTCAAATGGAATAAGGCAGGATGTTTTAACAGACATGCCCCCTGAAAAAGAAAGGATTGGATTGAATTTGCTTGTTTCTTCTTTGTCTTAAAAAAAAGTTATTAATCTGGCAAAACACATAAGAGAATATATTTCGGAATTTCTTCGTATAATAGCATATATTTTATCAACCAGGGAACTGTATTTTTAAAATAGTATTAAGTCATTCCGATAAATTTGGGGGAAAACTTTATTTATAAAATTTGTGTTCCCATTTTTTGTAAACTTACAAGGGATTTTTAGAACTATGTGCTATTTCGATCAATTCATTAGCAGTAAAGAAAGCAGTTTGAGGATGTAATGCATTTCAAAAAAAGACATGGGAGCTGCACAAATTAATTCCCTTGCTTCAGGACAGCATTTACTTCCTCTAACAGTTTGCACAGCTACCCACAGTATTATTGACTAACATGGCACAGTTTATTGGCATCTGCTCTATATCACAAAACCCATTATTGTGTACCATTTCGGAGCTATAGACTTTCTTATTGAAGAATCAAAGTGCCTTGTCAGTTTAGCCTAAAGAGAGTACCTAGTGTGGTGATTTCTGGGGCAGCCATAGGTTTTTCTTTTTTAATCAAAGTGCGCACACAGACACACACACACACATTGCTGTTAAAAGTCTCATTGGTATGCTATATAAAGATAAACAAACTTAATTTCAAATGAACTATTTAGCTTCTTGTAAACATTATCTGGTAACACACTTTAGAAGTAGGCTTCAGGAGTAGCAGGAAGGCAGACAGTTAGTGTTACACATAGCAAAAATAATGTAGAATCACTGGTAATATTAGACATATGCAGAAATGGACATTTGCCTTTAATTGTATCTATCTTTTGCGCACATTTATTACATCATTAATTAGCAAAATTGCATCATTTTCCTCACTAGATTATTACCCAAAACTATGACAGTTTAAAAATAAAAAATATTTTCCAAAGAGCTTTGGTAACTGAGAAACTGTAATTGTTTCACCTTGTAGCAGAATTATGAAGAAAATATATACTGATCCAAGTAATAGTGTCAGTATAATTATGAGAGAAATATTTAATCCCTAGAATAAGCAAGATTACAAAAAGTGCCCTTAAGTATGTTAATTAATAACTAACATTTATATCCATAATTATATATATAATCAGTTCCTGTAAATAATGTGGCTTTTGAGCATATTTGTAAATAATTACTTAAAACTAAATGTAATGGAGAGCAATATAACTCTATTTAACTGTTCTATCATTTCCAAATATTCAATTTTTCTATTGTTTATTATAATCCATCTTAATCTCATTCAGATTGGAAGTTTAGGCCACAGTGATATTCATCCAGTTGTTACTCTGAGATGATTCTTTTATTGCTGGTGTGCAAACCTCTGCACAAGGAACATAATGACTATCATATGTCACATGCAAAGTAATCAAGTATTTCTAATTAATAGAAATGAGGCTTATATCTATTAGTAGCATATGATAGGACTACCATTAAAATGAAAACTCAGAAAAGATTAAAGAAATCTGTACTAACTGCATATTTGTTACTTATATCATATTCTCATCAGAAATCAGTATTGAGTTCTTTGTACTAATTAATTTAATCACAACAATATCAGAAAACATAATGTGGTGTTGTACAAAGTAAAAGAAAGCTTGGTTAGTGACATGTGCCTTACAAGACTCTGTCTTCCTTGAAATGAATAAATGTTAAACACTTATTTTAGGTATAAAACTGAACATGAAAATTGCAGATGTTTATGACATTCTGACTTTGGTCATGAAATACTGCTAGTATTTTTATACTGCATTCACATTTCATATCCTCTTTCTACACTTGTAGAGAAATAGAGGGTCGATGTTACAGTGTCATTGCTTTGTATGACTATAAATTACATCATAGTTAACCAATTAATTTCTGCCTTGAACTTAATCCTCAAAACCAGAGGATCAAAATATTATAGGGAAGCCATTTTTTAATCTAGAGGCTATATTTGAATTATTTATCCATATACTCATTAGGCTCTATATGTTTCAAATTTTCTAGTTTACATAATTTCATTTTATACATTTACATTGGTTATTTGTCCAGTGATTTAAAAATGTATTTGTCTCTGTAACTCTTTTCTATAACCTTCGTTATGTAACTTGGATTTTTGCAAAATTATATAGATGTAAGAATGTTTACTGAAGTTGAAGTATAATGAATTAAATAAGATTTACTAATACCAAACTCATGATCATTTTTAAAGAGCTCAGTCTCTTTGATATTTGCCACCCACAGCTTTTTGTCTTCTATGAAATGGTTACATCTTACTGTCTTTGTAAACAGTGACATGGTACAAACACATAACTGGTTACATATTGCATTATTAAAAATCTCAAAGTCTTCTGCATTAGAATAAGGAATTATAATAATTTTCATCTTTATTAAAAATAAAATATAGAATAATGTAATAACTTATGCTTGCATGAATGAGTAAATAAAATGAAATGGTTGATTACACAAACAATACACATATACAAAAGTAAAGCATCATACCTATGGCTACAAAATAACTATAATAAATTTCTTCTAGAGAAGCCATAAGGAAAGATTTTAAATATTATCAGCTGCTGAATTCATACCATCTAGACAATTCTGTACATTTGCTGCTACAAATGTACTGCTATTTACAGTAGCATAATGAATAGGCTTATGTTATTATAGCTACAATAGTATGACTTGCATACGCAATGAACCAATTCATGCTAAAGGACTAGGAGAATATGCACTTACTAGATTCAGGATCAGAGTTGCCATCCCCTTCAGTGCGGTTGTTGGGTGCGGCATGATCAAAGTACTCCTCCTGAGGATAGCCAAGGGGTAGAGCATGGGACGTGCTGGGTAGGCTGCCTGCATCATGGTCTCCCAGTCCACCATCACTGCTGCTTTCCTGAGAGCCTTCTGGTAGGTGAAATGTGACACGCCGCTGAGACTGAAAAGAGGGAAGAAAATTACAGGGTTTCAGCTATGATCTGAATAATTGCTTAATGCATCCAATTGAGTAAATGTATTATTTCAGCTATCTGATGAAGATACATTAACATCATCTTGAGCTGTGAATGATTTCTGGCTGTTGTATACAGGCAGTTCTGTGTTCAAACCCTCTTCAGCTAGCAGCAATGTTAATTCTATTACACTTCTAAACTCCAGAGACAGATTGATAAATTATTTGTTCTAAAAAGGCTGAAAACGTTCGTAAGAATTTGGGTACATTGGAAATTCGGATCATCATTTAACATTGTTTTATTTAGCAATTATTTTATAGTAAATCATTTTTTAATTATAAGTATGGATAAATATAACAAAATTATATTTATGTTGTAGATATAAGATTCTGGTGGGATGAAAGAGTAAATGATAACAATACAGTTGATCAAGTCAGTTTAGAATATTAGAGCACAAGTCATCTTTTAGAAGAATCTTAGAGACAAGAGTTTATACTGGATTTCATTTAAATATATTACATTCTCTGAAAACACAAAAACAAGTACATGCTGTTTCTAATAGTTTATGGTAAGTACAAAAAACAAACTAAAGGTATATCCCAAAGATATGTACAACTATACCATGTCAATTAAAAAGTTTAAATACGTTTTTATAGCAAGCCACAGGAACCATTATAGACATAGTAAAATAAATGAAATACATTCAAACCAAAGTGTAAAGATGAAGTATTTTGACTGCAAATCATGTTTGTGATATCCTGCGAAGGTAATATCTCCATTAGACGCAGCAATATATATATTTTTCACAGCATTGTTGTATGTTCCTAGTCTCCAAAAAGGGCCTCTCCCATAAACTTTACCTCTTGGTTTTCAGTCCCTTTCATTAGCTAATGAATGCATTGAATCTGGATAGGCCTTATATTATCAAAACAGCCAGCTTCTGCTTCACTGATTCTGGGGCAAACCAGCTGCACTGAAAGAAGTCTCCCTACTGCAGAGTGCAATACCTTGAACTAGTAGTGTGGAAAAAGAGGACAGTGCTTAGGGAGAGGGAGAGAGGAAATGCCAAAGCCCATGGAATTGTAGCATTAAATAAAAATCAATCAATCACTCACTCAATCAATCAAAAACAAATCCAGGGGACAAAAGAGGACCATGCCTACAGAGGTCTAGCTGTCTCAGTCAATCCAGTTCAGGGGCCAGACATATATGTAAATAATCATTACAGGCATCTCTACATATGCCTTATTGGAGTCATCTCAATTATCTCCAGACATTTGAGCCAACCTATTTGATGAATCAGTCATTGTAAAGCAAAGATGGCCATCGCTTTTGTGTGTTACTCAAAGTCTTGACTTGAAAATAAGACAAGAAAAACAAATGATTTTTATACTCCCAAACATTTGAGAGGGTTTACTAGGTAACATTAAGTGAGCCAAACTCGAGACTACTTGCAGAATAAAAGAGGCAAAATAGAGATAATAATTTAAAAGATCCACATAAGGAGTAGCACTGTGGGGTAGTGGGTAATGTCATTGCCTCTGATATCCCATACTGGTACTATGATGTACTTTTTAGGATTCAAAGCATTACTCAGGAAAATGATACAATCAACCTCACTTATTTTGCATCATTAACTCCGCAATACCTTTCTTACCATCAGTCTTGTACCTTAAATGTATTGTGAAAGCATTACTATGAACATTTTAGTTCATCATCTAATATTCTCATTATGCAGGAATAATAACAATAAATACAACACTGATTTTTCCATTTCCACTGATAAATGATAGGACCATTAAATAAAGTCAGAGGACTATGAAACACAGATTACCTAGCTTGTCAGTCACTTTTGTTTTTTAATTAATGCTAAAGATATGTACTTGAGAGTCACTGAAACAAACATCAGGATTTTAATTTTTTGTTTCATTTCTTTTCTAAACTTTCATGAAGGTTTAGAAAATAAGTTTAGCTACTTAGAATTTAGAGTATAAAAACATTATGAACTTGCATTCTTGCTTTTAAAAACTTATTTCATTAATTTGAAAGGCACAGAAACAGAGAGCCTGTGAGAGAGTAAGAGAAAACGAGAGACACTATTTTTTATGAGTCACTAGATACTATTTTTTTTTAAATTTTATAACCATGGACCTAGTGGCTACAGTTTGCAAGCCCCTAACCTGGAACACTAATTTTGTCAGTTTAGCAAAGCAAGGCTTACTGTTCTTTCTTACAAAGCCAGAAGCTTATTTAGTTTCAATTTACGTCTGAATTAATTCTAAGAATTGTTTATGGTTGTTAATGAACCTTCAACAACTTATGGTAAAATATAAACATTTTTGCTTGTGAAACTTAAAAATTGGCAATCTGGAAAATACAAAATTTAAAAATGCCTGAAACATTATCACATAGAAATTTGCCTACAATTATGTATTATATTTGTCAAAGTATTTTTTGCATAGATCAAACTTTATTGAATGTAAAACAAGTTAGTTTGGAATGAGACTAGTTCATACTTTTCTTGTATTATAATGAAGAATTTGTATTAGATATTCTAGTTTTCTGTTTATGATACCAATAATATATTTCAATATGTGTGTTATGCATAAATGAGTATTATGTGTCTAGTACATGGGCATGTATATATGTACAGTGTATTTATGCTATCTGAAGGTTTTAAGGCATTAAACTTAGACAATACCCTCTACGAATAAGTAAACTGTACTCACAAAATCAAATTAATTGAGAACTTAACACGTTCTAGTTGAACATCCAATTACACATCCTATGAGAATTGTATTGTATTGTGGTCACAAAGTGTTCCACATCTTGTTAAAATGGTTAGATGCTCAGTCTCATACTAGAGATTTGATTTCTTTCTCAATTTCAGGGTTTGTTTTTTAAGATTTATTTATTTATTAAAGAATTATTTATTTTTATTGGAAAGGCAGATTTACAGAGAAAATGACAGACAGCGAAAAAGTTTTTCCATCCACTGGTTTGCTCCCCAAGTGGCCGCAAAGGCTGTAGCTTCCAGGTCTCCCATGTGGATGCAGGGTCCCAAGGCTTCCCGGGGTCATAAGCACTGAGTTGGATGGGAAGTGGAGCAGCCAAGACAGGGGGCATGAACTACGTGATCACAGAGAGGGCAAAGCAAGGATTTAGCTATTAGGCCATTGTGCCGGTGCTTATCTATTTACTTATTGAATTACTGAAAAGTCAGAAATACCAAGAGAAAGAGAGAGAGAATGGGTGTAGGGACACACGGACCCCAGTCATCTTTTTTTTTAATTTGCCCAGGAACATTAGCAGGAATCAGGACTGCAAGTGCAGCAGCCTGGTCTGGAAGGAGGGCCCATAACGGGACGCTTGCACCACCGCACAGACTCCAATCAATTCCCATTTGTAAACTGTACACTCTGAAACACTGTTTTATCTACTTGCATCATCTGTAGTTGGCAAGAAAATATCATTAATTAAGTGTAGTATTCTGTGGTTTTTATTCAATAAATTCACAGGAGGTTATGTTTGTAGATGTGTGAATCACTGGGTCTTCCACTGCTTTCTAAAATCTTCATAAAATAGTGTCCTAAAGGAAAATATCAAAACTTAAGTGTTAAAGGGCTGCTTTAAAGGATTCTAACTTCCTTTTTTTTTTTTTTCTTTTTGAAGAGGAGAGAGACAGAGATGGCAACTTGAGCCATCACCTGCTCCTTCCCACAATACACATCACCACAAAACTGGATTGGAGGGCACTGCGCGATAGCCTAGTGGCTAAAGTCCTCACCTTGCACACGCCAGGATCCCATAAGGGTGCTAGTTTTAATCCCGGCAGCCCCGCTTCCCATCCAGCTCCCTGCTGTGGCCTGGGAAAGCAGTTAAAGACAGCACAAAGCCTTGGGACCCTGCACCCATATGGGAGACCTGGAAGAGCTCCTGGCTTCTGGCTTCGGATTGGTTAAGCTCCAGCCGCTGCGGCCGCTTGGGGAGTGAACCATCAGATGGAAGATTCTCCTCTCTGTCTCTCCTCCTCTGTATATCCGCCTTTCCAATTAAAAAAACAAAACAAACAAACAAAAAAAAAACAACCTGGATTGGAAGCAGGGCCTGGATTTGAATGTAGCCACTGCAATCTTTTTTGTTTGTTTGTTTGTTTATTTGTTTGTTTCTTATAGAGATTATTTATTTGTGGGGAGGAGAGAGCTGCCATCTGCTGGTGCAGTCTAAAATTATTTGCAATATCCAGGGGTTGACCATGCTAAAACCAAGAGCTGAGAAGTGACTCCAGGTTGCTTTTGTGGGCGGCAGAAATTCAATTATTTCAGCCACACTTGCTGCCTTCTTGGCTGCGTTTTAGCTGGGAGCTCTAATCAGGAGTCAAGGCAGGAGTTAAGCCCAGGCATTCTGATAAGGTTGGCAAGTGTCCCAAGCCACATATTAGATGCTAGCCCGAATACCCACATCCCACCTCCACCCACTTCATTTTTTTTTAACAGATGGATGCCTAACCATCTGAGATCCATAATATGGAGTATTGAAATTATAAAGTTGTTTTTCTTATCCAATTTTGAAATTATATAGAATTAGCGGTTATTACGTGAAAATCATTCCTCATTTCTAGCAGAAAGATAAATAGCTTTCTTTTTTATATGTTGAAGATGATCGCAGTGCAATATAAAAGGGCCATTATGTTAATGACCATGTCATAATTTTTTCTGTCTGCAACCCTTCAAGGAAGCCGTGGCATACAAATTAAAACAGATCTATTGACCATAATGGTTACTTTATGAGATGGAAATAAATCTTGAATTTTTATGAACAACTGTCTACACTGACTAGTTATTTCCTGCCAATAGCTGAAAGAAATGGCATTGGATGACTCTCTAAAATCTGTAGACCTGCTTTTTAGCTCAAATCAATTACAACTTCAGAACATACACATAAAAATAAACAGATTATCATGGTCTCAGCTGAATCACTTATAGGG